AGCCAGCATCATGTGCCCAAACAGCTCCTCTTCAGATCACGGTAAGGTTTTCTCTGTACCTTGACCACTCCCTGCTCTGGGAGTCACTACTCTGGTAAAATGCAATTCACAGTGAGATTGGAAAGCAATAACGAAATAAGCCATTCCCCTGTTTTTACACGTGAATGGAGTAAGCAAGTGATTGGTATGACTTTCACAGCTGACGCAGGTCTCTTGGGTAACTTTCTGAGGAGCTGTCAGGCCCTGGGGGTACAGCAGTAATCACAAGACTCTGAGTGCTGACTGCCAGTGACCTGCAGTTTTTGGAAGCCCAGTCCATCTCTTGTGCAATCAGGAAACACAAACCAGCTGGAGACCAGCAAGGTACTGATAATCTTCAGCCAGTCAGATAACGTGAGTTTGCAGTTGTGGTTTTTTTAATTCATATTTAATGATTTTTAGGTGTTCAGTTATGCTGAATATTTGATTATAACAACTTCTAAATTGGCCACATTCGGGGAATAGACAGATAGCCAATGGCTTTTTTCATGAAAAGACACTAATTTCCAATACACATAGAGCTTGATTCAAAAGGAAGTGGGAGTGTACATGCCAGGAAGATATAAGAGATTATGAGAGGACATGAAGGGACATGGCCTGGGGAATACAGCAGGTATCAAATCAGTTTGTATTGTGTAATAATTAACTGCACACAGTTTGGCAATTGGTTAGTTTCTAGTTTCTGATTCTGAAAAATTCAAATATGCCCCAGGGCCACAGAACATCATAAAGCTTATTTGATGCTTTTAAAGCTTTTGAAAGATGCTTGGGAAGTGCTGATTTCCATAAACCATATCAGGCTACTAAATAGGACTGAAAAGCTGCAGATTATTTTTCATCTCATGTATTCCAATAGTGAGAAATGTGCAAGTTACATAACTAACCACCAAGTGTCACTGTTTGGTACTTTTATATTCTGACGTCTTTGTTCCCAAGTGCTTAGAAAATCCCTTTCAGTTGCAGTCCTGTAAATGAGGATTTTCCAACAAGAATAAGAGTATTTTTAAACTACAAGAGACATGCATATCCGCCAGACAAGGTACAGGAAACTCAAGTGTCTGGATATGTGGCTTTCTTGAGCAAGCCACCAAGTAATGTCTGAACTAAATATTGTTCCTATTACTGGATATAATAATGTAAGTCCCATTGAAAATAAAAAAAAAAAACTTTAGGAATTAGATTTTAAGCCTAGCAATTTAATGGCAAATGCCATTCTTTTCTGAAGAAAAAAAAAATGTCTTTTTTTAAGAAAGGCAGACAACCCTTACTGCTAGTCAGATACTTTGTCAAGGCAAAGGACGCACTATCAAAAAGAGGGAGCACATTTCAAATAAGTTCCTATTGTGAGAAGTAATTTAACCCGACTTTAAAATGGAGTAACAGCGGACATTAGACATCAGGAGATTGAACCACAGTCCTGGTGTGAGGTGCCAAGCTAGTCCTCCCTGTTTCTAGAATGTTAATATAGGTCATAATCTTTGATTGGCACAAAATCAGAATTTGCGGACACATATTCATGTGAACTGCAGCTCATGAGGAAATTTCCAACCAGGCTTAGAAAATAAAAAATAAAACAAACTACCTCACTCTACATAACTTACATAGCTTCCATTTGTTACTACTTCTTCTGCCCCACAGCTGAACTCTTAAGCACAGTTTGCCAGTGCTGTGGTGTTCCTGATGTGCCCCCATGTAGCTGCAACTTGAAAGATGTAAAATAGCTGCACATATTTCCACGTGTATTTGTGTTGTAGTTCTCTGTAGAATTTGGTACACTGTAAGCATAATGTTCCTTAGAAAGATCCTTGCTGTGTGCTAATACTGGTTTATCTGGGTGAGCACTCAGTCGTTCAGAGTCAGCCATCTGACATGGATGCAACAGCCAGGAGTGTATGAGTGAGCCAATCTCTTCTAACGTAATCCCGGATTACCAAACCTGTACAGCCTGCCTCGTCTTTTACACGAGTGCCTCTTCCCCAGATCTCAGCCAAGCTCCCTGCACTATTGACAGTCTGTAACACCCTTCCAGCCTAGCCATCCCTTATGAATAATAATTTCTAGATGCTTTTGAATGAGGAGCAACCCTGAAACAGGGGTACTGGCCCGCTTGTGGAAAACTGTTCTCTGCAGGATTTTTTGCATGTATGGAAGATGACCCCACTGAAACAGAGTACGTTGTCAGGGCCCCAAGTACACGAGTAGACCACAACAGCCTCAGTCAGTTCCTCCATTCACACCCTCTGCCCATGGGCCACTCTATTTAAGCTTAGCCCTAGGCCTTCAGCCGAGTCACAGCCATGCCTGTGCCTGGCCAGGGACTCCACTGATCTGGACTGTGACCTGTGGACTGAATTCCCAGCTTGACCTCAGAACTGCCTTGTTACTATGCACCTGCCCAGTTAATCATGGGACTGTGCCTGACTCTGGTTACCCTCGCTCAGCCTGACCCTGACCGGCGGGTTGCCTTTCGGGCTCTACCTTGTACTTGCCTCATCACCATGAACTTGCCCGATCATCTGAACTCGCGGTTGAACATCCCTGGACCTGCCCTGCTTGCCTTGCTCGGGCACTGTGGGATGGATGGGGCCTGGGCTGGTGAAGCCCCTGCCCTGCTGGCTGCATTCCTGCTCTTGGCTCCATGTTCCCTGGTAAGCGGCTGGCTTTTGCTGCTTCCTGGCTTATGTAGCATAAACCTAGGAAAAAAGGAATTGCCTGTAGAAACTGTATAAAGCAAGCATGTGAGAGGTTGAATCTGCAGAGAAAAAGCGTATGAAATCAAGAAGGTGAAATGCAGAATTATATGTTTCTGTGAAATGGATCATAGGAAACTGGGTAAAAGTTGGTAGGAAGTGACAGGCGCTAGGATGTGATACTTCCTGAGAAGGGAAAGGACATAAAACTATAGAAAGGAGAAATGGTAAGCAAATGAAGAGGGGTAAAAGAAAAATTAACAAAAGCTAGCAGAAATTATAAAAGAGCAAAAATACTGAAAAACTAAAATGGGCATGTTCAACAGTACAAATCCTAGCATAGAACTCTGTGGGATTTTACTGCAAAAATCTTTTATTCCTTCTTCTGTATTTAATAAGGATTTCTGATAATCCTCCATGGCAACCAAATCTCTTGAAGAACCTTTGGTGAAGGAAACAAGTCAAAGGGTTTCCAGAAATCCAAGTCCTCTCTCCAGCCTTTATCAATTCTGGACAGCACTATGAGGGGAAATAGTCATGTAAATGCTGTCCACGTCATCCACCACAATTTTAATCTCTGTGAGTCAAAGTAGAATCAGCAACAGAAAATTAAAGCATGTATCTTAAAGTAGGACAGCCAAAAGAGAAGAGCACACGATGCCTATAACAGCTCTTATACAAGTTATTTAGTCCGCTCTTAGGCTGACCTTAACACTGCTGTGTTTAATGCCATCCTGCACTTTCCAGTAACAACAGGCAATGTAAGAATCTTCATAAAAGAGAATCAGCTAACAAAAAATAACAGTTCAAATCCATTAGTAGAAGAGGCTGTTGGAGAAAAAGTTACTGAAGTTCTTGTGGTGAAACAGCAGACGGACAGAGCGATCGCATCTTCTTAGTGTAAGGTACTTAAGACTTTTCTCTGTAGTGTCTGAGGCAGGGTATTATAGAAGACAAGATCCTGAACCAGGCATACCCAAGATCTGATCAAATAAGGTAAGTTTTTCCTATGAAACAAATATAGTAGAGGAAAGCAAGTGAAAGAATTCTGGTGTGGGGTTTTTTTTCTGAGACAAAAAAGATCAAACAAAAAAGTACTCCTGCAATTTAGGTATCATGTAGTGAAATACGCAAGATGAAAAGAATGTCCACGGTGCCTGTCTGGTGGTGTTCGACGTACTGTGCAGGCAGTCATTACAGGGCTGCCTGCGGAGAGTTGGCAGCGAGCCCCGCGCGCTGCCAGGTGGATGAAAGACTCGCTGGGGAGGAGCAGTTCAGCAGTGCCCCTCCAGCGGTCAGGCCTCCTTCACCCCCCTCGCTGGTGGGGTGAAGACTGCCACTCGTGAGACACTGGAGCCTGGTGCGTTTTGGGTAGTACTAACAACAGCCTCTGAGGCCGAGGGGAAAAAAAAAAAAAAGGCAATATAAATTAAAAAGAGGTAAAACCGCCGTAGGCCTTCTCAATCCCACCTGCGCTGCTGGCCTGGGGCATGCTGCCCCACCTCCTGGGGAAGGGTTAAAACAGTTGCTCTTCAGCCTCGTGCTTAAGCACTTTCCATCCTTCGCCTCCCCAAAAGAAGGAATCGATATTTTTCTTATATAACAACGGTATTTTTAAAGCAATTCTGTACCCTGCTCTGAAAGCAACATTTGTGGCTGGTAGAGGCACACTGACCTACCTACACCTCGGGCACGGCTAAGTCTGAACCACGCCAGCAGCTCTTCACCCCGTGACCTCCACGGCCCGTCCGTCCCGGCCTACGGCGGCGGCCGTGACAGCCGACAGGCAGCCGGGGACCGGGCCGCCAGATCGGGAGGAGGCAGCGGCCGCCACGTTGGGACGGAGCGGCACCTCCTGTGACAGGCTGGCGGCCCCGGAGGGAAGGTACGGGCTGTACCCGCTGGCTCCCCGGCCCACGGTTCGCCCCGGGGGTAGGTGACACGCTCCCGCTTCGCCCACACACCCCGTCCCGGAGCCCACACGGAGCCGCGGCGGCGGCGCGGGCGGCTGAGGAGAACCGCCGCCGAGGGACACCGCCCCGCCCCTCACGCGTGCTCCCCCCGTGATTGGCGCGAAGAGCTACACCTCCTCCCCTGTGATTGGCCGCACGCGGTGCCACTCCCGCCGCTCGAAGGCATGGGCGGGCGCTGACGTGTACGTCCTGACAACACCTTCCCTCCCTCTCTCCCTCCCTCTCCGCGCGGCGCGGGCGGGGCGGGCTGCTCCGTCACGTCACGTCACGTCACGTCACGTCACGTCAGCTGCGCGTTGTTCTGGTCGTAAGCGCGCTCGGTGCACCGGGTGCTTACGCAGCCGCCCTGCGCGGGGGCGGCCGGCGGGAGGGGGGGAAGCAGAGGTGGCCGCCATGGAGGCGAAGCCGGCGGACCTCCTGCTGTGTGACAGCCTCATCCTCTGGGTGAGTGAGCGGTGAGGGGGGGTCCGTCCTACCTGCGCACGACGCGGCGCCGCCGCCGTCCCCCGGGGGTCTCCCGAGGAGGGCGGCGGGGTGTATGTGGGGAGTTTTTCCTGTCAGACCCGCGGCGGCACCTCACCTGTTGGCCCCGCCACCGTTGCCGTGCGTGGCGGGGGGCGGCCGCCGCCCCTCAGCCGCGCTTTGGCGGGACGGAGCTCTCCTCAGCCCGGCGAGGCGGGGGTGGCGGTGAGCAGCCCGCCCTGGGGGGGGGCTCCTGTCAGGGGGTCTGAGGGGCGGGAGGGCTGCCCGGGCGGCAAGAGGGGGGAAACTGGAGGCGGTTGGGGTACGAGCGTGGCTGCGGTAATGGGGCCTGCGTGAGAAACGGGGCGGTTTTCGCAGCCGGTGAAATGTTCCGGCGAACAGCCTTCAAGTGTAGATGTGGTCGTTTGAATGTCCTGTAGGCCCAGGTAGTGGTTCTGCAGCCGTGGCTTCAGTGTGGAAGCTGCTCGGTAATTAACAGTAATAATAAATGTATGCAATTAATTTGAATTGAGTTGGCAGGAGCAGAAACCTCAGAACATCACATACCAGCTTGCAGTCGGTTAAAGCGTTTATTGGTCAGGCGCAGCATACCTGAATAAGTGGTGTTGCCTACGCGAGGAGCACGAGCACATATTTAGAATCACAAAGTTGTTTAGGTTGGAAAAGACCTTTAAGATCATAGAGTCTGACTGTATTTGTTCAGCTCATCAGTCGAGCTTGCTTTCTTTTTATCCCTTGTTCTTGCCAAGTTTCTTCTGCTTCCTTGTCTGTAATTCTGGTCTTGCAGATGCAGTGTTTTTGGTGAGAGTGAGCTCTGCTAAATAGAACTTTTGCATGAAATCTTGGCAGGGGAGGCCACAATTACCTGGCGTGAAGAGTTCCTCTAGAAAGAGCAGGTGTTTTGCCCATGTGAAGTGTGAATTGGGGAAAGAAGGGAGTGTTTTAGAAGCATTGTGGAGATCCAGGAATGAAACTGGCAAAAGTGATAGCAGCAGCTACCAGAGTAGGTGTTCATTTTACTTTCTACATGACAGCTTTAATGAGTTAAAGCATGTAATCACTGAAAAACAATTTTCTCCTTTTTTTTCCTTCCTCCATTTTCCTTTTAGTGACCTTGTGTCCTTCCAATGTTTTGTTGGTCTTCAGAATTTCAGTTGTCTTATGCTTACCTCTCTGGAGTTGGATATCTTTTGTCATTTAATCAATCCAAACTTCTCTTTCTCTTTTTTTTGGGCTCTTTAACTTCGTATTTTCCTCTCGGTAGTCAGGTAAGAATAACTCCATGATGGTTCAATTGCAAAATAAATCGGTGCATTCCTGAACTCTGTGTCAAAATCCTGTCAGCAGTGCTGAACTCTTTTATAATTTTTACAATTCCTGCTTAAAATATTTTAAGCCTAATTCTAATTTTTAGTATCCTCGCAGTGCATAGCTGTAATTACATTGTAAATCTTAAAAGGAATGCTAATGGAACTTTAACTAGCCTTAAACTGAAAGAGCTTTGTGTAGTGTTGTTAATGTAAATGAGCATCCAACTCTGTGTGTTCAGTTTTTCTATACAGCACTCAGCAGATGCATTGCCAGATGCATGTTTTTAGATTTAACACCCTATTTCTCAGACCTAGTTTACAACTTAGTAGAAACCAGTTGTTAACACTAAGGTATGTTTCAGACATCCTTTCAACTTGAACTTCAGTTCAAGTAATAGGAAGTTACTTCAGTAATAGGGAAAAAAAAAATTATCTGGGGAGGGGGAAATCAAATGCTGTATATCTGAAGAGAAATGGGTTCTGTAGCTCTCCGTAGTTCTAAAGGTTTCTCAATTTATTTACTCATTAATATAGCAAAGAGATGCTCATGATTTTCTGTTTTCTGCTTCCAGATCTTGGTGTTTGGGTTTTGTTTTTTTTTTAATTTTAGCAAATTCTAAATTAGAAAACATGCATTGTCCAGAAAAGAAAGAAAATTTGAATAAAAATTATCTATTGGTTCTGCAACCCAGGTGTCATTGAATTTAAAGTTTTGAGGATGTTACAGGAAAAACATAATGGAGTTACATTAAATTGTAGGGGAAATGTACATGAGTTTTCAGGGAAGATTGATTTAAGTAGTATTTCTTAAGATTGAACTCAAGTCTGTTGCAGAAACAATTTTCTAAGTTGGAAGGACAAACTTTAGTTAGTATAAGTGAAGTAAACCTTAATATTTTCTGCCTCTGAGTGCAACAATAAGAGTAGCAGCAGTAGGCCTAGTGATGCAGTAGAATCTTCTGTGTTTAGGTGCCATTGCAATAGGTGGTTTCTTTACTGTAGTAGAGGAAAAGTTAGTTTTGGTACTGTACTGCTCTGAGGCTGCTTCTGTCATTTGTCTCAAACTAGAGACTAGGTGTATGGCAACATCTTAAACAGAAAGCTTTTTCCACAATAGGTGTACCCCTGTTTGGCACTGGTAATGTTAACTCTGTCCAACAGCTGAGTTATTCTATTAATATTTTGGGATTAAGAATGGGCATGTTTATTGTTACTTTAAAATCTCTTTGACTAACTCTTTAAAACTTCTGTCCCTAGTGTGTATAATCTGGGTATAAAATGGAGAACCTCAACACTACTTTGTCTGAATGAAATTGAGGGCATACCTTCCCAAGAGTTGGATAGATTGATTTCTACTGGGTAATGTGAACACTCTTGTTTCATCTACAGCTGTTTGGTGGTAGAGCCTTCAGCAGATCCAGGGAAAAGGCATTAAATGTTATGTGCTACAAAATTAAATTTTCAGATGTATATTATGAGCATAATAGCTGTATGTCTGAGAGAAAAATTCTTGCTTCTCTTGTTGCAGCAAGTGGCAGGGTGCATTTAAGCTAGGTTCATGAAATGGTTTCCAGCATAAGTAGCAGAGTGTCCTTAAGGCTATATTTAGTAAAACTAATCAAATCTGGAAAAAAAAACAAATTAGTACTGCTGCAGTCCTGAAGTCTATGGCTGCTTCTACCAACCTCCTCCCCATGCCTACTACTTTCATTGGTTTTGCAAGTACAGTAAAAACCTGTTTTGAGGAGATGATTAGGCTGGCATGGGATTTGGAGAACCCATAATTAATACTTCTACTCTCATATTATTTCTAGGCGCTTATGTAACTTTTAAATATATGGAGAAACTACGACTCTCAGTCCTGCTTTTTGTTTAATTTTAATTAGCTGTTTCTATTCTGGGAGATACTGGCATACATAAAGCACTGTTGCATGTCGCAGGGTTTCCTAAGGCTTTGTTTACCTGCTTTATCTGGCTTGGGTGAAGTGGTAGTACCTGTACTTAACAATTTCTTTGGTTTACAAGGGGGTATATCCAAATGGCAGCATCACGATATTGTGCCATAAAACTCTGAATTCTGGCATGCTCAGTCTCGACTTGTAAGCTTGCGTGCCTGTTCTTGCCCTGGCAGTAAGGCTGCTATAGTATTAGAAACCAGTGCTGTCAATCACAGCTGCTTCAGTTTGTGGTGTTCTACTTAATCTTTTATGTAACCTACCAGGGATTACTGACTTCTCACTTGCTGTAATACAGGATTTTAAAACCACTTTTTTAAATTGGAAAACAATTTAAACCCCCCCTTGCTCTGCATATTTTTCTCTTCTTGGCTTGATTAGACCCTTTTTGAAGCAAGCAAACAAATATTCAGAGTATATGGTCACTCTTTATAAGCATAGAGTAGACAGCAACTGCCTCAAATTCTCACAGGTGGAAATTCTGCTTTTCTACCACTCTGGTCCAAGTAGCTCCATTTCCCAAACACACTTGACAAGATCATTCACCAGTGACCACTGAAGAATCTTACCTTTCACAGGATGTTTGGGAAAGCACTATCACAGATGGACAGGTAATTTAGGATGTTGTAAACCTAGTAAGTTTAAGTCATCAGTTTTCGCAGTGGACAGAGATTATAAGGATCTGTTCTTGCTCCCATTCTATTCCACAAACGCATCTTTTAACAATATTAACAGCAAACTTTCTCCATTCTATTTTATTCATCATCATAAAGAAGGCTGAACTTAATTGCTGATGAGCTCTTATTTTCCTGAGTAACTATGTGATGAACTGATATGTGTGTGGAAAAAGCTCTCTCACCTAGAATAGTTACTTCTGAGCTGATTGGTTTTGGGGGAATAAAATATTACAAATATAATAGCTAATTCTGTCAAAATGTTAGATATAAGCTTGAGGATAGTTTAAAAAAAAATACACAATATCCAAAATGGAGAAACTTTTTTAACATTGAGGTAATCCCATTGTACAGATCTTAAATGCAGGAAGACCAGAAACCTAAGAGGAAAAAATGGCCGTCCTCACGGGAAGTATGGAAGAGCTTCCATATGAGAATTGGCTGAATAGATGAGGACTGTTGGTCCTGGGAAAGACGCAGTGGGAGGAGATGGGTATGGTAGAGGTCAATACAGACTTGAGCTCCTGGAGAAGGCAACTGGGGAAGAGTCTGTTCACCAATCGCACCAGAAGCAAGGGAGATGAGGCGAAGCTAGCAGGTGACAAACTCTGACAAGAGGGGATATCCTGCAGAATGTCTGGATGCTGAGTTTGTGGCTGCAAAAAGTGCCTCAGCCAAGTTCATGGAAGAAAACTTCATTAAGGACTGTTAAATAGAAGCGTACTGTCTGTGCTCCAGGTGTTCTCCAAGACACAAATTCCTGGAGCCTGATGGAGTATTTTGCTGAGTTTGCAGTCACTTTTTACAGTCTGTGGAGTGCTCTGAGGACCTGGGTACCTCAGTGTTTTAAGGCTTTATACCTGAAGCAGTCAGAATTGCAGGCAGAAATCAGCAGGGCAGCAGAAGAGCTGCCTATGGATGTGTAATAAACTAGTATTATACGTCAGGATGATGATGGGTTTCTTATTTATAAAGCTGTCTGCTGGGTGTTTATTGCATTGCTCTGTAAGGATGTAGACATGTTGAAGGTATTTGTGTCATTTGAGTTGCTTTTGGAGAAGCTAGCTGCAAAACGCTTGAGCTATTAAATTTTTTTCTTTAGGATGGGAGTTGCATCTTGTTTGTATAGTCCTAGTACAAAGGGATTTTAATTGTACTTGTGCCTGGAAGCACCAGTTAGAATACAGATTGCATATAACAATTCATATAGAATAGATCAGGCAACTTATTATAAAAAGCTTCCATCTATAATCTGGTTTTGTAATAGAGGAGAAGAGTGAAAACTGGAGCTTTGTTGCTTAATCTTTAGACAGAAATATGTAGGTTGGATAAAACTGTGTCCAGCCCTGTGTTAAAACACTAGGTAGTGTGATGCTTGGAAAATAACAGGAAAATATGTGTGTATATATAAAAAATATAAATACCAGGAATAACATACATCTTCTCCTGGTAATATATTTTATTCATATAACTTCAGGTTATAGTAAAATTTCTTGGGTTTATAGCAGTGTTTTGAAGTTGCATATTTAAATGGGGTCATCTGTAGAGTACTTCTGGAATTCCTGAATTACAAGGAAATACGTTGCCAGCTCACAGGACCTGGAATGGTTCAGTCTTTTTCATCTGTCATCATATCCTTGAAGTGTGCAGTGGCTGTCAGACAACTGGGGTTTTTTCCACTATTTTTACATAATTTTCTCTGTTCCATTCTTAATCCCCAAATAATTTCAGGGGTCTCTACTGGTGTCATGACTTCTATTACCAAATGCTTGTAGTAAAAGATTGGATTCTGCCCCCCGCCAAACTTTCACCCCTTGTTCTGACACCATTTTTTGTTGAGGTAGTTATGTGTCCAGAACTAAGCACTGCAACATGATTGTGGGATGGATAAATATGACTTTAGTTTCCCAAGTTAGTATTCCATAATCCGATTTACAATAGAAGAACTAGCATGAAAAAGAAAAGTGTGGTAGTACTAACCTTTTAAGCTACTAGTCATAATCGACAGTCACAAGTATTGAGCTAATTGGGTTGGCTTAAGAACTGCATAGTTCAAAAAGGATTTCAGCTGCCTCAAGTAGAAAGACATCTTGCTAAATGCTTGTGCCTTAAAGAAGAAAAAGAAAATGGTAACTAATTTCCTGTCCTTCTGTCTACTAAGCAAGAAACACAATGTTTTTCCCTGTTTTAGTTGCAGACGTTCAATACTGCTGCACCTTGCAGAGATGTTCAGGACTTGACTAATGGGGTTGCCATGGCCCAGGTACTTCACCAAATGTAAGTTGATAATTAAGTTTGAAGAAGAGGTATTTGATTTCTTGAGGTTTTTGTGTTTTACATGCATAGTTGCTTTTAAAGTAGACCAACTTAGAGTGGACAGTTTATAGCAGAAGAAAAAATATGCCTTTGTATTGTTGTTTTGGGGATGATATAATAGTTGAATAATGTGATAGAATGGAGAAGGTGATGAGGAGATACGCTAATACTGCAGTATTCGATTCATACTTAAGGGTAATTGGGCAAGAATGGTATGATCTTTTTCACTTTTCCCATCAACACTATTTCCATGGATATCTATGCTTCAGGCAATATGTTCCTCTTCGGAGTGAGGAACTAAAAGTTCAAAAGGCATGTCTTTGTGCTCTCTTCCTCTTGGTATTGCTCAACTGATTTAGATTTAAGTCCTAGGATTTAAATGATAACTTACTATTTGTGTGGAAAAAAGAATTGTGAAGCTTCAGTGGCAATTTTATTATTAAAAAATAATAGTTTGCTAATCAAAAGTAAAATCATTCTTATTGGTGTGATGACAAATGGTACTGGGTTGAATGACACACTAGTTTTGAAATTTGCAGTTACTTCAGAGGGTTGTAACACGAGCCTTGTATTGAAGGAGTATTATGGTACAAGTCATCACTGCAATTTTATTGTTGCTGTTGGCTCAGATAATAAAGGAGAAGTCTGAATTACCATCTCCTGGTCAAACTATATTTCTGATTACTAAGAAATTACTTAACCCCCCCCCCCATTCCCCCCCCCCAAAAAAACCCCAAACGACTACAAACCCCAAACCCAGAAACTCCCCTGTGTGCTTGGAAAGATTTTAAGTGTGCTGTGTAAAGACAGAACTCACTCTTTTCCTGGGGCATGGCAAAAATTGATTTAGGATTGCTTACTGAAGATTTGCTGAAGGTCACTTCTCATGTGTTTGTGGTACTAGGCTGCCACAGGCTTTGGTGGGTAAACTTCTTTACAACCAAGTTGGTTGATATGCAAGTGGGGATAATAATTGTCTTTTATTAGGTACTTTTGGACCAGTAAATAAACAGTACAGTGTAAAAGTGTATGCTGTGAATGTACCGCTTGGTAGCTCAGTATGTGTAAACATCTCCTTCAGCAACCCGTCCTTTTTTGTGCTGGCAAAGTGAATATACTTCTGCCCAGGGTGACCAAGGACATAAAAAAAAAATGAAATGCCAGTAGTTTAATATTTTTTTTTTTCTTGCTAAGTGCCTTTGACGAATTGTAGCAAATGTTGGAAAATCCAAATGTACAAGAGTACGTACCAGACTTAACACCAGCAGTAGTCAAAAGAGCATGTTTCTTTACATCATTATGGTCACTTTGTCAGGTATAAAAATTCAGCATGACAAAGGCCTTCACATGCTTGTATTCCTAGCTGTAGCTAGCTCAAGCATGTACAGAAATCCTTCCTGCCCGGGAAGATGGTGTCTTAATGCAGCTGGCAGGATGGAAATTTCCTGTGACATAGGTATAACTTGCCGTCTCCAGGAATTTCTGCCTCATTAGACACCGGTAGTCAAACATCTGATCATTTAATGCTAGGAAGCTGATATCTTATTTATTTAAGTCTGTGCTTATTGATGTTTAATAATTTAATTTTGTTTCAGAGATGTTGCTTGGTTTGATGCATCTTGGCTAAATCGCATTAAAGATGATGTTGGTGACAACTGGAGAATAAAGGTATTCAGAACTGAAGTTAGTGGAAGTTTGTGGGTTATCCAATATTGTGTCTGTCCTGAGAGTATCTAGCAGTCCAAAAACTACAGAATTAAACTCAGGCTTTTTTATGTTATTTTAAATGAACTTGAACTGTGTGTTGACAGTGTAAGTGCCTTCCAGCATTGTTGCATGGGGGTTTTCTGTTGTGATATTGCTCTTCCCCTGTCATTATAGGGTCCTCTCGTAGAGCTGCTATGTAAATATTTTATTACAAATTATTATTTAATTTCAGCAAAATTAAGAATTTTAATAAAAGCCTGTAACCTTATCTTCCATGTACAACAATTAGTCCAGTAATCTGAAGAAGATACTGCAAGGAATTATGGACTACTATCATGAGGTATGGAAAAAGCAGCAATTTTTTTGTTGTTCTAATCATTAAACATTATGATTATTGTCCTCCTTCACCTAGCTTTTTTTTTTTAATTGGCAAAGTAATTTATTTTAAGGACTTTTTGGCAGAAAGTATATGATAATTATCTGGTTAAGTGGGAGGTCTGAGTGAATATAAAATTACTTTGAGCAGGTTAGATAAGACTCTTGGAGTATAATCTGGAAACCATGTCTGTCATTGCCTAGATGAATGTCACAAGGACTGAGCTGCAGGATCCTGTTGACTTTTGTGTGTACATTCATATTTGCTTTAGTCTGGTGAAGTTTTAATCCTTTTGTACACAACTGAACAGATTTGGCAGCCCTAGTCTAGGTTTTATGATACTCACTTGGAAGCTAGGAGATAAGTTCTAGATCCTCCTGGATGTAGTAAGGATTATAGTTTGTTTTCTCTCATGCAGGATGAGTATGGTAGCCATATATTGAGTTTAAAAAAAAAAAAAGCAACTGCTGAATCTTGTATGGAGCATGATTGGAGTTATGTAATGCGTATGGTGTAGAAAAACTTGCCAGATCATTTTATGGCTTCCTGGTCTCACCTGGGCTTAGTTGTGATATTGAGTGCCAAGCCTTTCTGTATTGCCAGGACTGAGGCTCTCTGGCAAGCCCAGAAGTAGAACTTCTTTTGGCTTATGAGGAGCTTTTTGAAGGATTAGGGAGCAACTGAATTTGGAAGCATTTTTAATTCCTTTTTTTATTATGTTGGTAGAATAAATTAAATCTCTCATATTTGAGGTCTAGCCCAAGAACTTTTAACTTTACTACTGTTGCTTTTTCTTGCATAAGTGGTCAGTTAACTAAACCCCCAGTTAATAGACTTTCAAAACTTGTGGTTTTGCCAGAACAATTTTATGGAACTCTTACTACGTAAATTCATGGCACTAAATAATTGCTAGGTGTTTTGCATGTATTTTTTAATGCTGTCTACTTTAGATTAAATTTAGGCCTATTCAGAGAAAAATCTGAGGTGCCAAGTATGGTAAAGGTCATTGGCTAGCAGTGAATTGAGTACCCATTCCCCAAAATGCACATCCACACTGAGGGATGGAGACAGACATTTGGAACAGTCTTTGCTGGTGCAAGAGAGGCACAGTGGTGACATCTGAGTTTCACGTATGAAGCCCTGTAACAAATGAGTTAAGAATATCTGCTTTATCTAGATCTCTTCAGATTTCCTAATCTGATACTGCTGTGTACTCTCTCATACGCAAGTGTTTTTAGTGTGTATCTCCGTATTTAATGTTTAAAATCTTTCCCTTCCGTAAGTTTTATGGTTACAAACTTATTAATAGACCACTTTCTCTGGATGGCTTACTGAGTCCAGATTTCTTACATGATACCAGATTTTCATGTTGTACAAAAGTGGGAGTCTACGTTCACTTTTTTTTTCTTTTTCCCTCCAGTTCTTGGGTCAGCAGATTTCAGAAGAGCTTATTCCGGACTTAAACCGGATATCTGAGAACTCCGATCCCACAGAACTGGGCAGGCTTCTGCAGCTTATTTTAGGCTGTGCAGTCAACTGTGAAAGGAAACAAGGTACGCACTACCTTAGTCTATTCAACAAACAGCAGAATACCTCAGGTGATTGTTAAGGTGGAAGAGATGTAGAAACTTTTCTTATTTATCAAAAAGTCTCTATTGTTAATATGTTGCACACCTATTCCGAAACTGGAGTTCGCTTAAAAGCAGGAAATCTATGGGAAACTTCTGTGAATAAAACTCAGACTTTGCTCAGGATAGGTTTAACAAAATGGTCTGAAGCATGTGGATTATTCATACTTGTTAAAATACATATCAAGACCTAAAGCTTGCTATTAAAATGCAAATCAAGCAAATTAAATTAAAAACTTATATTAGAAACTGCCTTTTGTTTGTCTGCAGAGGCTCAAGACTGAATTAGTTGAGTTCTCTCTCCCCTTACCAGAGCTAATGCTCAATGCTCTGATGGGTAAGGAATCCTCAGCATGATTCTGTTAATAGAACAGGTGTGATCCCTAGGTAGTCTGAAATGACTGCATCAAAGAGTGTTTGGGAAGTAAGCTGTCGGGCTGCACTGAGAAAGAAGATGCTAGCAATTACTTTTTTCCATTAAGTTTTATTTGTTAACTTGATTGCAAGCTTGTTGACTCTTTGAAAAAGCTTATGTGTATACATATGTAGATGTATGTATGAAAAAAGAACCATGTAAATACAGATGTCTTAAAATCTCCTTGCTCTATTATTCATAGTATAAATTTGTTCACTTAAAAGATTATAATCTCTTATGTTTATCTACCATATTACTGGATAATAATGTTGTTGGTTAGTAGTAGTGCTCTGTATAAAAAGAGTGCTACCAGTTTTGAAGAAGCTCTATAGAGAATAGTTTCTTCTGGATCTTTCTGCAAATGGTGTGTCATGTTACTCAAGCCATTACGATGAACATTGTCATGAGTAACTACAAATTCTTTTTTCTCAGAACATATACAAAATATCATGACCCTTGAAGAGTCTGTTCAACATGTTGTCATGACTGCCATTCAAGAGGTAAGTAATAATTCATAGCCTAATGCTGTCAGTTGAGAAGTCTGACTATCCATTTGTTGTTGTTTGTGAATTCTTTCATCCAAGCAAACCTCAGGGAAGAGCGTAAGTACTTCCCTAAATTATCTGGGAGGATCAGGACTAAGAGGCCCCAGACCCCAACCAAGGGTTTTTGATTTTAGTCTCATATGCCCAAACGTACAACTTGTGGAGACAATAGATGCTTAAGATTTCCTGTTTCACACAAGAAAAGTATCTACTTGCCAACTGCTGATTATGCTGGAGCTGGGTTCTGAAATGTCTGTCCCAGTGCTGTAGTTTTAGACTCAAAGTTAAGCTGATCTTAATGGTTTGTGAGGCTACATTGTTATGACAGACCATTCCAGCATCTGATTTACACATTCCCAGCTGCATCTCTTCTGTTCTTGTCATGGTGTGCTCCCCCTGCTATCTTAATTTGTTCTTAGTTGGATCATCTTAGTGATCCAGCTCACAGCTTAGCTCTGCAGTCACTTGCATCTGTGAGCTTCGGGGCTGTGAAGCAGGGTGTGGAGGGAGGCAAAAACTAAATGCTGACTTTGAAGAAAATGTAATGTGTAATTGCACCCTCATGAAGGTAACAGTGGAGTTAGTAGGAGGCTTTAAAACTTAGATTTAAATTGACTCATAGTCTTTAAAGCTGTAAGTATCATATTGGGAGAAATAAATCCATAAACTTCTTGTTTGTTGTATTCTGACTAATCAAACTTTCTCTCTGAAGAAGGTTTAGAAACAATACTGTAATTCCTGAGTAAGAAGTAGAGGCCTTTAATTGCTGACAAACATACTGTGTACATCTTTGTGCTGGAGATCAGCGAGAGCTATGTTTGTGTTCCCATTGTTTGCTTAATGGCAATTAACATAACACAAAGAAGTGTGATAACTGTTAAATTAATTGAGTGAAATCCATCCTCTGGTTCACTCCATTTTAACTTGACTAAGGGGTAGCAATAACTTCAACAGATCACAGATTCGTCCAATAACTTGGTTAATTTGGGGAGGGTGGGGTTTAAAAAAAAAGTCATCTTATTCTAGATTTGTTTAAATCCTTTACCAGCCATGACATGGTTTTTATTATCATTATTATTAATTGGTTTTGATATATTGAAGAGATGCAAGGATACAGTGGAAAGTACAATTGGTACTCAGTAGACAGTGAATTTACAGATATTTAACCTCTAATTTAACCTTCTTTTCCTGTGGCCTCTCTCTATAGCTCATGAGCAAGGAAATAACGGGTCCTTCCACAAGTGATGCATCAAGTGAAATGGAACAGCAGGTAACTGCCTGATACTTGTTGCTGTTGTAGTTCAAGCCTGAACGTTAAGTTGGTATCTTGCCATCCCTTAAATGAAGATGAGGTCTGCTCTTCCTCTCCAGTTCTAAAAGGTTAAAAAACCCCAAACAAACAACCTCAACAATAAATTGCACTTTTTTGTCTTCTATCATCTGCACAAATTGCTTGGTCTCTTTTCCACTCGGTGCTTGGATTAAATCATACTGGTTCACAAATGACAGAGCAACAAACTGATGTAGGCAGAGAATATACAATAAAGTAATGCTATTTTTCAGTGCTAATTAAGTGAAAAGTTGCATGCTATTTTATGACTGCTATGTCATCTTCCTGGGTGGGGTAAAACCAGCCAGTGCAAACCTATATTGCAAGAAGAGATAGGGGTACATCAAGGCTCGGCCATGTCAGGCTAAACATTTCAGGTTATTTTTAAGGGGTCACGAAAATTCTTGATAATCTGAACACTGCAAGGTGTTGCACATAAAATGAAGTTATCTTTAAAAGTAGCTTTCCATGAAGGAGCATCAGTATTTCTGTTCTGAGATGAAGGGCATTTCATTTCTCAGGCAGGGATTTTTGCAGTTGTGACAACACAGATGTTCCTGTGTTTGGTTTTCTTATGCTTTTAGCCTAAGTTGTGTTGAATCTGGATGTTACTCTGAGTTTCAGTAATTTAGTTATTACATGTGGTAGTAATTTAAAATGCAGGTGAAATAAACAGAGATCCTGATCTAACTGTGTATATAAGTTCTGTGTCAATATGTGCACCTAACATCCTTCTTAAACAATTGGTATAAGTAATTGAGACCTTTTGGAAGCTAGAACTGTGAGTACTTTGGGTATGGGCCAGAATGACTGATGGTCTTTTGTTTTTTAAAAGCTTAAAAAAGCTTTGGAAGATCTTCAGGACGCACTAGCAGAAAAAGAAGAGCTGGCACAAAGATGTCAAGAGCTAGATTTACAGGTAAGAAACAGCAAGTCGCTTATTTCTTTACTGTGTAGTGGTGCTGCTATTAAGATGCAGAAATTCTGAAGGGCAAAGTGAATTTTGCATTTATTTAAGTTTCTGTGAGAATTCTTAGCTGTTTCTGGGGGAAAAGCAATCATTCTGTACTCCAAAATGCAATTAGTGGAAATAGTTTTCTGATGGAAGTGTAAGCTGGGGTCCTGTGCCAACTGTTAACTCAAAGGTGCTTTGGTCTGCTAGCTTTATGTTTACCCTTAGTAGCAGGTAGCCATCAAAACAATGCTATCATGGCTTTAAAAATTGCCCATTTCATTTTTAGTCACTGCTTCCTCTAGTCTTTTGAACTGTGTCCAAAAAATCCAGTTCATGTAATAATCAGTCATTAGATTTAATCATAGGAAAATGGTGCTGTTTTCATTAGGAGTTGATGAAAGACTAGAATTTGAAATTTATCTAAAATTTACTAACTTTTTCTCGTACACAGTTGCAACACAGAGGATATTTCAGGGAATAAAAATAATGGAAACTAATAGATCCATGATGACTTTTTCAAACCACACTGATAATAGGCCTGCTTTTGTTTTTAATGGATACAGAAGTTAATCAAGTCACTCTGCAGAAAAAGGAGAGAGGACTTCATAACAATAAACAAGAACTTGTATTTCAATCAACTTTTTAAAGAAAAAAGAAAAAAAATCTGCTTGTTAGCCCTAAGTCTGATTCCTCTTTTATGACACTATAATCTGAGAATAGAAGGAGGTTTATCTGGTAAGGCAGTTAATCTCAGATTTGATTCTGTACAAAGAGAACATTTGGGTGGCATCTCCTTGTAGGAGCCAGAGTGCTATACTGGCTGTATGAGCCTCTGAAGAAGAAACAAACAAACAAAACAAACCCACACAAAACCGGAGGCCAGTTTTACATTTTTTACAGATAATGATGACGGAAAAAGTAGAATACTTATATATAAAGTAGCTCATAGCTAATTGCCATGGCCAGGAAGTTGTTGTTAGAGTTGAATTGGTATTTAATTTCCTTTTTTCTTGAGGCAGTAGTAAGGCTTCCTAGTGAAAGCAGAGATCTAAAAATGCTTGTGAGCAGAATCTGCAGGAGAAAATTATTTCTTTTAAATGGGCTAGGGGATTGATTTGACAGCTGAACTGGCAGATAACAGTTGTTAAACTTCAAAAAGTGTGTTCACTGTTCAAAAGATCTCGCTTCTAGAGGTGCTGGGATGACAATCTAATTGTGCTTTCTGCTTCCATTAGGAGACTTAGCATGTCTCACTAGAGAAGTCCCAGGCTTTCTCCTGTCTCCCACAAACTTCTCTTTTGAGATTTCTCTGTTAATTAATGATAGGTTACACAAAGCCAGTCGCTCATAACGTAGTGTGGGCCAGATGAAGGCATGAAAGGTGTTTGAGGGAAAGGTACTGTTGAGTATAAACAGATCAGTTAATGACACCATAGCTCTTTAATACTGGGACATGTTTTTTAAAATATCTCTTTGTAATTTGTGTTGACTTTGACACCACTTCTGTTATGCTGAAATAATGGAAAAGAAGAAGAGAAAGCTACCAGAAAGGAACTGAGGAAAGATGAAAAACTTGCTCTGAGTTGTGTGAAAGGTTTTGTTGGGGTTTTTGGGTTGTTTTTTGGGTTTTTTTTTTGTTGTTTTGTTGGTTTTTTTTGTTTTTTTTTACGTCTGAGAAGGGTGTTCTTTTAACATTACTCTAGAAGTGTGAATGTTGTGCACGTTTAAGGAGTGGCTGAACCTTGAACAGGAAGTATTACGCCGAGCAAGGCTCAGATGCTCTCTACCCACAGGTGTTTGAGAGTGCATGTATATAGTAAAGTGACATCCGGTATGTAAAAAGGAGTGAGCCCAGAAAGCCAGCATTTAATGAAGTGGTAGATTGATTACTGTTTTGTTTCTTACATCTGTTTGACAGATAGACTGTTAAATTATCACAAACGAACTGTTTTTTAATATTGCATACTTCGGGTTATATCTGATATTTTATCTAATAATGTCACCATGATATGTTTTGCTTTGGTTTTTTTTAATTTTATTTATTTGAAGCCATAATATTGACTGACGCTTCTCATTTAAACTAATTCTTAATAAATTCACTTGTAAGGTCTCAGTCTTCCTTGATATTTTCCAAGAGTATAAGAAAGGTAGGTTTTCTTTATGATTCAGGAAAACATAACCCAAAAAGCATATTGTCCCTGTTTAAATGCCAGTTAACTAACACATGCTACATGCTCTTATGTTTGACAGGATGTTAAAATTAACACAACAGCTTTCACTAGAAAAAGTTTAAAGGTTCTATCCTCTTAATCCTTCCCTGTTTTATGGCTGTTAATATACTTACTGTTTCAATAAAGTGTTGTAATCTCATTTGCTTAGCTGTGAACACTTTCAATATCAAACTTGTTTGTGCAAAAAATGCATGCTCTATATGAAGCTGTCTAGGTTTTTTCTTTTGTGTGTGTGCTTACTAGCTTATGGCGCCTGAAACTGCTTCTTGCGCAACCATTCACTGCTGAGCGCACGGCAGTACTGTGTTAGTGTGCTAGCCAGTGCCATCCTGCTTTTTATTGTTAAGTACAAGCAAGATGGAGAGTACCTTTATACCAATACTTAGAGTTTTTTGTATGGCGTCCATGGTATCCTTTTTAATGAAAGTACCAGTTTTTCTCCATATCACATTGTCTGCCTTTTACCATGGTTTCAGTTACAAAAATTTGTCTTTTTTTAGAGGGACTTTTCCTTTAGTGCTTCATAACTGTCATACACTAAAGCATCTGTATGCTCAAGTATGCTATGTAAATGACATTCTAAAATTTCTAAACGCTCAACCTTTTTCATAAACTAATTTGGTGATGTACTGCTGTCTTGCTTTAGTTCTTTCCAGTTGGACAGGTCTTACAATGTTGATGCTGTTTTATCTGCACTAGGTGGCTGCCCTCCAGGATGAAAAAACCAGCCTGATGTCAGAAAATGAGATTATGAATGACAGGCTAGAGCAATTAGATGACTCTCTTGATGATCCAAATACTGTGGTTGCAAAAAAGTATTTTCATGCACAGTTGCAGCTGGAACAACTGCAAGAAGAAAACTTCAGGTATGAAATGATTTCTCTCAAAAATCCCTCACTTTGTCATGTCAAATTTATCCTGAGAATTTCTGGTACTCTTTCAGGCTTTTCTATCTCAATTTCTTTTGCTATAAAAGCTTCCTAGTACTGTATAAACATGTTTTAGTGACAGTCCTTACCTTTAAAAAGAAAAAGAAACTGTTACTTGTTGTAGGAAATATTACTCTGTAATTGCCATATTGTAGCCATTTGACACTTCAGAAAAGGTGATGGAAGGCAGAAAACGAGTGCAGAAGTGATTTGTGTGTAAACAAAGCAAAACAAAAAGAACCCTAACTTCCCCCCAAAGCCACCATATCTCTTTACTGTATTGATTTCTTTTCCATATTAGTCTTTCTCCCTGTGATCCCTATGGGGGAAAAAAAAAATCACTTTTCATGTGAGCCCTTGATGTTGATATGGTAAACTTGCAGTATATAATCCATTATGATTTAACAGGTAGACAATAGAATGTTCCATGCTTACAGTACCATTTTTCTGGCTACTTAAATCAGTAGGTTTCCTTTGTCTTAATATATTTTTAATAGTTCTAGCACTAAATGAAAAATGTGTAATAATGATGAGTTCTTAACAGAGTTCCTGGTTTTGATCTGGTAGGCTTGAAGCTGCAAAAGATGATTATCGTGTCCATTGTGAAGACCTAGAAAAACAATTGATTGAACTGCAACATAGGAACAATGAACTAACCTCTTTGGCAGAAGAATCTAGAGCCTTGAAAGATGAAAATGATATTCTTAGGTATGTAATAGTGAGAGCTACCCCCCCACACACACATTAGGAGGATTTGATGACTAAATCCAAGGTTTTGTATTTAACAAGATGATTTTTTTTTTTCTTGAGGTGTTACTTCTGCAGATAGGTCTTACCTGAATGAGATCTAAAATGAGTGTTGGAAAAAGGCCCATTGAAAAAGCAGAGATGGAGCGCAAGTTTCAGGCATAGCCTCTATTGTTTGCATAAGAATAGCAACATAGAATTTTTCTGTGAAGCAGAATTAATGAATACAGAAATTATTCTTCTTCATGTGGGATGGAAGGTTGAAGTTCTGCAAGAATTAAGACATTTTTTTTTTGGAGAGGGTGCATTCTTATTAAGGGAACATTAATGTTGGCAAGAGGCTGCCTTTTCTGTTGTAGAAAAGCATATATGCAGCTAGAACTTTGACATAACTTTTGGTGTCAGCATTCTAGGCTAGATTTAGCAACATGATTAACAAAATGAAGATGAAATATACAATAACCTTGATGAGAATTTAACGTAACATTCCAGCTTGTGTGAAGCAAATTAAATACCAGACCACTCAAGAAATATCCAAAGCAGATCTGCTATTTATAAAACAGTATGAATAAAACATGGAAGGAAAAGTGGTTTCAGGTGTTTAACTTATAGTGGTTCTTAAATAACATCTTAAACAAATCTTAACTGTAGATTTTCTTCCATAATTTTCTTGTACTAGCTTCTAGTGATATGAGATGGCAGATATTAAACACAGGTATTAAAATTAATTTGTATATTTATGATCCAAATATTTTCTTACCACATAGATTTTTGTTAACAGTCAGCTGGTAATTCTTGGTCATATCTGCTATTGATCATTTTCATAATGCAGTTATGTTCTAATTATGTATAACCCTGCAATGAGAACATCTGTGTGTTTTTCCTTACCAGGTACCAGTGCTTTGAGATGACTATCTAGCACAGGATGATGTGGTGCATTTATGTTGCACCCCACAGAATTCCCTAGAGATGTTTGACATACTAACCCTTGCTTGCACGTCTGCCATACGACTGTCAGACTTACTCCCACTTAAACCCTGTGGTGATTTCAGTTTTTATAAGCAGTCTTTGCATAATGCAAGTTTGCATTGATTATGCATTTAAAAATAAAGGAGTAAGATTTAACTCTGCTGTTAAGCACATTGCATGTCTCTGAAAATAGCTTGAATGTGCATGAAAGCACAATTTGACTTTTTTAACCTTTTGAAGAAACATACTCTTTCTTCTAATTCCTGTTTCTACTTTAAGGACTACTGCAGACAAGGCAAGTAAGCTGGAATCAACCGTTGAAGTGTATCGTAAAAAGCTACAGGATCTGAATGACTTCCGCAGACAAGTCAAATCTCTGCAGGAAACCAACATGATGTATATGCACAATACGGTCAGTCTGGAGGATGAACTGAAGAAGGCCAATGCAGCACGTGCCCAACTAGAAACCTACAAAAGACAAGTAAGGCTGCATCTATACTTAAGATGTTACTTTTTCCTCAGATAGTCATCTTACCTAAATAAAATTATTTTAATTATGTTTCAGTGAAAAAACCTGAACAGCTTAGTTTAACAGCCCACGGGCTTAACCTGTATTGTCCCCTTAGAATTTCCTATTTGTGAAAACTCCTTCATACTCTGCCCTTCACTTCCTGTTTTTCCCTGTTTATTAAGCAAGCTTAACTGTAGTTACCTTCTCAACTGATTGGTTGTCCATGGTTTGCAGGCTTTTCTTCTTTACTTTAAGTGAGGTAATTTCGTACCTGGGAGAGGTTGCTTAGCTATGATTGAGTTGACTTCTATGTAATATTCTTAAGTTACTTCATGGGAATTTATTTTAAACTGTAGAAGTTTTATTTCAATTTCACTTATTTTGTTAGTAATTAAGAGATGCAAGAGTTAAATATTTAAAAAAACCAAAAGACAAAACGAAACCCAAAACCAAAAAACAACCAACCAAACAAAAAAACCAACCAAACAAAAAAAACCCCCAAACCAACCAACCTATCTACCAAAAAAAAAAAACCCCCAAACACACAGGCCTCCATCCCATCTCCCCTCCACCAAGCTTGGCGGACCAGCTGTTTATTTTGGTTGAACTGGGCAGGAGTGAAGGTTTTAACATAGCTTTTAAAGGTAGCATCTTGCAACATTCATGTGTTGAATATAGTCTTTTTATGAAAAGGTCCAGGAGCTTCATAACAAACTGTCTGAAGAATCAAAAAGAGCTGATAAGCTAGCATTTGAAATGAAGCGACTTGAAGAAAAACACGAAGCTTTAATTAAAGAAAAAGAGGTAAGTTCTTGAATGAGAGTTTATTTAACGCCTACTAAATATCTCTCAAATGCTCTGCTTGAGACAAACCTTCCCAGAAGTAGTGCTACCATAAAAATGAAGTTCAGCAGCTTGCGTGTGTGTATACACATATAAAACATAAAATATGTATTAAAATATGTGTGTGTCAGTACTATTCCTGATTAATGTTATTTGGTCTTAAAGTGGTGCTGTATGACTTAATTCCACCTCAAATATATCTTCTTAGAGACTGATAGTACAGTGTGATGCACTAAAAGAGACAAATGAAGAGCTTCGGTACTCACAGATGCAGCAGGATCACCTGAGTCAAACAGGTATTGCTTTATTTTCAGAGGCTTTTTTATGTATATTAGTGATTTCTTTAAGTTTGTTAAATTAAACTTCCAATGCAATTTCAGGCACATCTCGTGTTAAAAGCCATGAGAACCTTGCTGCTGAAATTCTGCCAGTGGAATATAGGTAAGACAAAAAGGTTGGGGTTGTTCTGGGATTTTCATGAGTGGGGCATAATATTGTCTCTGTGAAAGTTCAGTATTTTCAGCAACATGACTCTGTATCCCACTTCTTGCTTTGCCTCCATGATGCTTGTCTGGACCCCTGTGTAGCTGTTAATAATTATTTCCCCACACTATAATTACTTTGCATTCTTTCTTAAAAGCATATCAGATTGCTGTATATAAAGTTTGGCTTGAAACATCCTCTTTACGGAGTGAAACAATTCTTATCTTGCCACTGGCAGACAGAATAAATAAATAATACACAGCAACTAAGACAGAACAGCTGAAAGCTAGCTAATATCATGTTTAAAGTCTGGCAGAGTGAAAAATAAAGGCACAATAAAATCTGGGTTGGGAGTGACTTAATTTAAAGTTTTGTTCATATCTCTTAAAAAACTATTGTGATGTTTGAAAATTTTAAGTTACCTTTTAATAAAAAAATTGCATTGTTATGCCAACTATATCCTTAAGCAGAACTGGTGCTCCTTTTAAGGTTGGGGGAGTGAACAGGAATATTACCTTCCACTCTTTCTTAATTAACAGTGACTTTTGTTATTTTTGATTCAGAGAAATGTTTATTCGGCTGCAGCATGAAAATAAGATGCTTCTATTACAACAGGAAGGATCAGAAAATGAACGTATTACAGAGCTCCAAGAACAGCTGGAGCAAAAGCATCGGACAGTGAACGAACTGGAAACTGAGAAAAGGTGATGGGTGAAGCAGCATCTTAAAATGTAGCAAAAAGTAATTTCTGGACTTTGAGTGGCCTTGTGGTTTGCATCTGTAGCGTAGCACTAGGCAGGAAGCCAATTACCCTTTTTCTTTCACCAGTGTAATTATTAACGAAGGGTTATGAAGGAAGCAAGAGGGAAAGTAGCTTAAATGTGGTGGTATAAAATGTGGCGGGTCTGTGTGTAGTGTACTCTGAAGAAAGTGTTGCTTATAGGATGCTCTTAGCTCTGAATGATTCTCTGTAGACCAAGAATGGATGTAAACTCTATTTCTAGAACTCAAATTAATCATGTTGTAACACTGGGATATGGTCTGAATTTCTTTGTCGGTTAATGAATGCTGAAAGCAGTTTACTAGGATATGAGAATTTTGGGTAGTTAAGTTTTCTCAAAACTTAAAATTATTCTAGGTCTTTCGTTATAAAATATTTAATAAAGCTGCCATGTGTCTGTTTCAGCAGAAGTTCCAGTCAAACTAAAAGCATTTGAAATCAGTTTCTTTGTGGCTTAAGTCCTGCTGGGTAGACCCTCTGAAAAATTATCATCCAGACGTGAAACAGAAAAATCTGTCTGTTGTGATCTGTTTAGATGGATAACAACTGTCTTTTCTTCCTAAAAGGCTAAATGAAGAGCGTATTGGGGAGTTACAGCAGCAGATTGAAGATCTGCAAAAGACTTTACAGGAGCAAGGATCCAAGACTGAAGGAGTAAGTGAAAGTTTAGGCTTCTTGACCTTGAAGATGTCTTGCCAGTTTTGTTTAAAATCGTTCAGTGTAACGTCAAGTGCGTTGTTTAGATGTGCCTCTTCTTTTTCAGTGTGTCTAGTGCTGGTAACTACTAAGAAGGCATGTTTGTGGTTTGGTGCTTTTTTGTTTTGTTTTGCTTTTTTGTTTTTTTAAAGTTAGTTTGAAATGCGCTAGTTCATGCGGTAGTAAGAGTAAGCAAGCCGTGAAGCCCCTTCAGGTCATACCCTCCTACCGAACAAACACAGACCTTTCAAGCAACCATCTTAAACAATTGAGGCTGTTCAGTATATTCTAAAAACTGTCTCCTGCCTGAAAAACAACTCCCTCAGTTTAGGTAACACAGACTTGGCTCCACTGTATTCAGAGCAGATGAGTTTAGTCTCTATAGTATGAGAATCCACAAGACCTGCACACCAACTGCATTTCAATGGAAAAGCTCATGTTTTATGCGTTTCCCTCCCCTTGCTTTCGTTAAGGAACTGTAACTCTTCTACCTTCTACTTTTACTTTTAAAAAAATCTCTGGTTTTGTCATTAAATGGTGGTATAGTGAGAAGGATAGCTTTAAAGAAAAAAGATGCTGGAATTGGTATCTGTGCAATGCAAAAAAATATGAATGCAGTTACAGAAATGCATGGAAAAATGCAGCTTTCTTAGCATTTGTTTGGTTTGACTTATTTAGGTGTGCTAAGTATTCTTGGCTGATTTGTAAGAGCACTTTAACATTGCATGGTATGAAATACTGAAATATAACTGAGTTTTAACTCTTTCCTTTCATAGTCTAGCAACCTGAAGCAGAAATTGGCAGCACATATGTAAGTAAGGCACATACATCCACAATAGCTTATTTATGCTAAATGATTGGACTGTTGTAGCTCAGAAACTGCCTAAGTCTTTGTACGGTGTCTTGTTTTTCTAAGCCACTGATTGAGAATCATGCATGTAGTGAGTTAAGTATTAGTGTTCTAGTTTTGTCTACTCTGATCATGATAATCTTGTAATACTAGTATCCACTTAACTGTCTCTTCATCACCAGTAGCATTTTAACTGTTCTGGTTCTACAACAGATTGCTAAAACCATCGCTTTTACTGGACTCAAAATGTATTTCATACTTCTGAAATACTTCCATCCTTTCAGTAGATGTAGTTCCTGCAAAGGAGATGCTGGAGGGGTTTTTTGTTCATTTTCTTTTTTTGTTTCTAGCTTTAGGTAAATGAGACTCAATTCAGAAGTCACAACTTCTATGGTTCTTCAAAAATACATACTAATATTTCTAATTAAACTCAAAAGAATTGCCAGAGTTTAAAATAGTTATTTAAACACTTCCACCATTAAGTTTCAGCTTTCAGCTCTTAAAACTGTGCATGGGATTATTTGTGAACTTAATTCTTAGCCCAGCCTTTCATTTGTAGGGAAAAGCTGAATGAAGTGCATGATGAGTTACAGAAGAAAGAGGCTGATCTTGCAGAACTCCAGCCTGATGTTAGTCAGAACCGTAAGTTGTTTTTTGGGTTTTTTTATGAGACTATGTTAATTTTCTTCTGAAATGATTCCCATAGCCCAGTGGCTGTGGGATACTTGTCTGGATAAGGCTTTCTGCTACAGCTCAGCTTTAAACCTGAAATGGGGGTGGAGGGAGGGTTTTCTTGCACATGGTGTGGGCCAGGGAGAGGTTCATGGGGGCTTAGTTTTGTTGAACAATACTCTGCAAAATGGGAATTCGGGGTCAGGTGGGACCTTACGGTACAACTGAAATAAAAATAAGAACTTAAGAAATTGTGTAGTAGCTAGAAAGTTTGTTTGAGGGGTGGTTAAATCAGGAGAACACAGAAGCCTTGGAAGTACTATGTCTATTTTTATTTTGTATGTCTTTGTTGATATTTCTGTAAATAGCCCAGAAAATTGGAGAGCTGGAGGCAGCTTTGCGAAAAAAAGATGAGGATATGAAAGCAATGGAAGAAAGATATAAAATGTACCTTGAGAAAGCAAGAAATGTGAGTGGTGTATTTCTGAATGTATATATTCCTCCCTCATAAATTGTTGAACAGATTGATTTGAGTCCCGCCCCCCCCCCCCCCCCCCCCCC